AGCTATGCTGGCTGGGGAATTCTGGGAGTTGAAGTCCAGACATCTTAAAGTTGTTAAGGTTGAGAAATACTGGTCTAAGGCAACATTCTGAGGCTGGCAAACATTCTGAGAGTGTTGAAAGTGTGTCACAGGCACTCTTCCCAAAAGGCTGCTGTGGAAGGCTTGCCTAGTCACCAAACAGCTGCCAGAATGGACATGACAAAATGGTCTTTCCCCAGAAAATGGCAACATTGCTTCCTAGCCCCAGAGCATACCTCTGCCTAGATATCTTCGGGAGATGTGTGTGCATGGAACAGTTCCAGCAACAGCCTTTGGCTGCAGCCAATTACTAGTTTTATGTTCTAAGAATGTCTATAGGAAAAAGGAGCAATTATAGAATGAGCGAGGCCCAAACAAGGCATCAAAAAATTGGAACCAGGCTGCGATAAACCCTTAGAGTTTCTCTCCTGCATGAAAAGGCCAAATCCTGCCTTCAGAAGCAGTTGCAGAAAAGCTAGACTATCCTTTGGAGGCAGGTGGTTGACGCTTGTGAAAAATTTCCAATGAGAAATACAATCTCATTATAGAAAACAAGCAATGAGTATCTAGAGAAAGGAATGCAATATCCCAAAAAGGGGGAAATAAACCCATTAAGAAAACAAATACAAGCACGGAATTCCCAATGGCAAATAATGCGCAGCTCCCATTAAACAACAACGACAACTCTGCTAAGAACAGACTTGAGCTCAGATATCAGAAGGAGGAGGGTGGAGGGAACGTCCCTATTTAGGTCTGCTTCTGCATAAACCATTCAGTCAGAGCCACAGAGAAGCCGTGTGCCTTGCATACACCCCCGGATATTTTGCAGTTTGAACAAAGGCAAATTCTCTTCCAAGTCAGGCTCAACATCTGGTAACTTCATGGAACATTCATGTAGTTTTCTTGGCAACAGTTCAAGAGTGGTTTCCAATTGCTTTTTTTTAGGATGTTTTTTCAACTTCTTAATCTAGCTAACCTACAACCTTGGTATTTCTTGGAGGTCTTCCATCTAAGCACTAAATAGGTCTGGCCCTGTTTAACTTTGCAAAATCAACCAAGGTCAGTTAGATGCTGCCACCTAACTTCTGTGGATTGTATAAGAGTTACTGTGATAACTCTTGTTGTGGAATGTTAGATGTCAGATGAAAAGGCTTATCAAGATGACACAATGATTGAGTTCACACGCACTTATCCTGATTTATAATTTAACCTAGTTAATACACCAAACCATAAACTAACAAGACAGACTGAATTTGCACTTTATGGTAAACAATCCATACATAACGACAAAGTTAATGATAACTGCACATAGTATGTTGTGGGATGTAACTGGTAGTTCTTCATCTGACCTGCTTAAGTAAGTTCTGTGGATACAACTTAACTTTTATTAGCTACCATAGTTAGAGTCTTTCCTCCCTTGTGTCAATGCCCTTTTTTCTAACATAAGCTCATCTTTTTCATCCATTTTGGTCCAACAGACTTTCCATCACGAGCCCAAACTTTTTGCCCCATCTAATCACAACTACTTCCAATCTCAGCAGCCCTGATTGCAAATACTCCTCTCCCAACACTGCATCCACCAGTGGCTTTTAAAACGTTCCTGGACAGTTCTCTGCATCCTATAAACCCAGCCCCAGAATCAGTTTCTGATTCTCCACTAAGCAAGGTGGAAAGCTGAGCAAAATGTGAGCCAGTTCTCAGAGGAATCAATTAGCAATTCCTGCTAAGGGATGTGACCTCTAACATCCCTTCTGGGCCAGGCAGCAGTTTTACTCTTTCCTTGAACAAGGCCAAACAACTGCAAGTGGGCACTTACTGGTTTTGGGCAGTGGATGTATCTGGCAAGGCTGATGATCAGGTCGTGGGTGATTGGATCAACGAGGTTTCTGAAGCTGGCATAGCGATATAAGACATCGTCCAATGAAGTTGATTCCATTCCCAAATCCTGCAGAGGAACAAGTAAATAAGCATTTTGGAGACATCTGTGCATACTTAGCTTCCTCAGTGACTGGATATATTGATGGGTACAGCCCTACAAACAGTCACAGTCCCATTTCCACCACATCCAACTCTTTAGGGTTTGAGATTCTCCAGAAATAAGAACTCATACAAACAAACATATACATGTACACACACACACACACACACGCCCTTGAAGATGGGGAAAGAGCCACATGCCATTGGTTTGGTCAATCAACCCACCAACTTGGGGGCCCTGGTGATGTCTTGCATAGATGACACTCAGCCTGCAATCATGCAGTATACTTATCCTGGTTATAGAATTAACCCATATTCTGGTCACACAATACTGAACCATAACATACTAACATACTACCCCACTGGAAAGTAACCAGGATACTAAATGGCCTAGTTAAGGATGTTGTATGAATGTAGCTTCTATGTAGCTGAACTGGAATTGTCTGGAACAAGGAAGGGTCTTGGCTAGTATTCTCCCTCCCTCATAAGTCATACTCCTTAGCTTCACAGAGAAAAATATAACTAATGAACTTTTCTCTATGGGCTGCATTAATACCCAATCACTCGCTTTTCCCTCTTCTAGCAAATTCGGCAGCTTCCCTTGCACAGAGTGCCTAAACAGGCATCATGAGAAGATAAGAACTCCATACAGACCTACTGTTGTTCCTGTAATGGGGATCTTTTTCATGGCAGGATGACTCACACACAACGTAGGTCCTAGCTAGATATATGAGCATTTCTGTTCTCTTTGCATTTCTGTAACTGAAGCAGAATAAGCTATAATTTAATTTATTTACTGCTTATATTAGTCATTTTCAAGCTGGAGACCCTCCAAATGTAGTGCCATTCCTCAAATCCCCCAGCCAGCATGGCCAGATAAATCTCAACATATCTGGAAAGCACTGGCTGGGAAGAGTGATTGGAATTAATATATATCTGTCCTGACCTTCTGGTCAAATTTCAAGTTTCAGTGGATTAGCTTGATTCTAACATTGTGAGAGAGGGATAAAAAATTCTCTCTCTCCATATTAACTATGTATGCAATGTATGACTTTACGTATCTCTATCATGTCTCCCCACTAACCTTCCTTTGTTCTAAAGTAAATTGCTCTAGTTGCTTTACTCGTCCCTTGGAGAAGACTTGCCCCTGATAATTTTGCTCGTCCTTCTTGTATCTTCTTCAGCTCTAATATTCTTCTTAAGCTGTGTTGACCAGAACCACAGATTTATAGAAGTTCTGTTTTCAGTTATCTTTCTAGTGATTCCAAGTATGGAATTTGTGTTTTTTAAGGCAGCTGAACACTGAGTATATATCTTCCGTGAGCTGCCACTGTGATTCCAAGATCCCTTTCCTGGTCATGCAATTCCTTATTCCTGAGTTCATCTCCTTCCCAACCAGAGCACTTCAATTTTCTCTGGATTGCAGTCCAAACCAAGACTAATGTAAAAGCAGCCACTGTCATTGCTACAAGAGGAAATAATGTTGGCTTTGAAGAGGCAAAACAACCTGAGCAGATATGTCTGACTCTTCTGCAAGGCTTCCATGGCAAGGTGAACAGTTAAGTCTGGTAACAGACTTTCAGCAACTGTTTGGGTTTAAGATGAAGTGGGAAGGAACAGTCTTTGTTCATGGCGGGGATTGCACTTGGAGAGTTCCTTCAGAACTACATAGCCTAACTTACTTTTGATGAGAAATTCAATACTATTCAGCCTTTTGAACTGGTCTAAGATCCTGATTCTTCTATACCACTAGTACTACTGTATATCCAGAGCTTTACCCATGGGAATGGTATCAATTCAGGCAGAGGCTAGAAACAGCTATATATCCATCAAGCAATGAGATCATTTCCATATCCATTCTTACCAGTCCTGGCAAATTTTCTCCCTCCTGCATGGAGCAAAATACAAAGCAAATCAGACCTGAATGGGCCAATTTGCCTTTCAGAGTGAGTACATAAGCTATCATTACTGGCCAACTTCCCCTCTTGCGCTACATGTGCAAACATATTATTGAGTCTATTTGGAACATTTAAAAATGAAATGTGTATGAGGAGATTCTTGACAAAATTCAAAAAGCAACTATTTTATGCCTATTTAACTGACAGATAATTTTCTGGAAGTCTTCAGCAACATTATAGTTATTGATGCAAGCCCTTCAGGCCCACTGTGTTTGTTTTTTTAGGCAAAGCAATTTTGGTTCAAGCCATTTGCAAAAACTCTCAGAAATGGAGGTTATTCAGCAGGAACAACAACATACAGCCTAAGATCTTGCTTCCTCCCATAATGTAGTATGAAGCAGCAATCAGGGGGTTGTCTCTTTACAAAACATCCTGCTTTTAACTGTCTCATCAGCTAACCATTCTATAAAGCAGAAGAGAATGATGGCAACTTTGCTTACATAGTACAAGCTGCTTTTTGGATGCAGTGCCCTGCTGGATCAGACCCCTAGCCCAGCTAGTCCAGCAGTCTGTTCTCACAGCGGCCAACTGACTGCACAAGGAAGCCCGTTAGTCTGCCAGCAGATGCCCTTCAGAGGCAGTCACACTGCTACTGGCCCCCATGATGATCTCTTGCATTGTGATTAGACTTGTGAAGATGGTTTACGTAACAGCTTCTTTACTGAAATTCTTCCATGGTGGGGAGAATTGGCAAGGCCAGGCATTAGCTACTGAGTTGGTTTGCCAACACAGGCCACTGTGACTAGGAAACAAGTTCTCTTTACTCTTCTGAACTGCCTTGAGAGGCACATGATGTTTGTTTGTTTTTTTTTAATCTGCTCTCAGTCGTTACCGACTCTGCAGTGACTGCTTGGACGAGT